CACCGTCTCCCACTGCTGCCGTTTTGCACGAAGAACCTCACTCCTGGTGAGATGAAGCTCGGTGATAAGGGTTTCACAGATATCTTCAATATCGATATCTTCAGTCGAAGGCTCCCTCGTCACCGACACCTGTAGAGAGGCTCTCACTCGAGACTTTGCTTTACATACTCCCCGTGGAGAATCGCAGCAGCACGAGTATCTCACAATTCGCTGCCACAAGAGCTTCTCCTGTTCAGCACGATCGCTCAAGTAGGTATTCTGGTCTATCCATCGACGCTTCATGACCCCTCTCAGATACTCAAGGTCAGCGGTAGACGCACACTGCGGCATACCTCCATACTCCAGCAAAGTGAGAGCCGACTGAGAGCGTATGCATCATGGTTATAGCTGATTGTTACTGCTTCCCTTGCCTCAATGCACTTTCTAGTTGCTGATGCATCATCCTCCCTACTCTGTTGACTATATGTATCATGGTCTCGCAAGTAAGTAAGTGGGGATGACAACACGTCAGCGGGATTAGTGGACGTGAGAGAGTGGACCCTTACAACCGCATAGGTTGTAGTAGGTTATCCTAGTGTGAACTGACGACATCGTTGCTGGGCCAGGTATCTCGGAAGGAGCACCACTCAACCGATTCACGATTATTACGAAGCTGTGAGTTCGGAGGATTGACTTGGACAACCAAAGAAGCAAGTCGACCAGCATTGAAATCGATTTATGCACAGCCTCAAACGACACTATGTTACTTCTTGTTAATGCATCATTCACATGAAGAGCATAACCCTTCATAACGGCTTGTTCTAGGCCAGAATAACTCAATTAAAAATAACATGTGCGGCGTTACACCACGTGGTCGCTCTCACCACCCGCGACCTTCGACGATGATCGGCCATAGTCATCCAAAAGCTCACACTTGGTTAGGACCTGAACACATAGCCATCTGGCTCAAGTTGATCCTTTGATCTCTGCATCTCTCTCCCAACATGTCTGTGAGTCCGACCGACATCGCCAGCCTCCGTCAGCAGATCGCCGACCTCGCGAATATTATGTCTTCAAAACAAGACGTCCAAGTGATGAAAGGCTCAGATGGAAATGTCTTGGGCATCCAGGACTGCTTGGTCTTGATTGAACGAAAAATAAAAGCCCTAGAAGATAAGACGAATATGAGTCTGTCAGCCCTGAATGCCAAGATCGGGCACACAAACGAACGGGTTGGTACTATCGATGCAAGAATGTCCGACTACGTGTCAAAGCTCAATGACAAGATCGATAACCAATCACAGATGATGAAGGATATGTACAGTCTGATCTCGAACATGAACAAACGCGGGGAAAACCAGGTAGGGAGATATGAGGAGACAAGTTTTCTCAGACAACGAGCGTTCTGCCGAAACCTCGTGAGAGAGTACCTGCCCCCGTACGATCGACACAGTGGTCCTACACAAAATTCGACTATAAAAATAATGCTAAAGTAGTGGTATTTGGTGTCCCGGAGGCTGATACGACGACAGAAAAGGAAGATGGGACTCCGATATTAAAACCAACAGTCAAAGAACAAGTGGAGAGTGCACTGACTCGAGCTGGAGCAAGATGTGCTACTGATTCAATGCGTACAGCCAAGAGGCTCGGAGCGTACCGGTCTGATAGAGATTTGGAATCTAGGCCGAGGCCAATCTGCATACAATTCGCACAGCCAGATGTGGCAAGTGAATTTGTGAAGGCTAATGGTGTGAACCTCAGGAACCAAGGGCTGGGAATCAAGTGGTGGAGGCCTTATAGACCGAGAGCCAGTCAAGCTACGGAAGAGATCAGCTCCATGGCGGCCAGAATCGATGAGCTAGCGAGATTGGTGAAAAATCACAGCTTATCGGCGGCAAAAGGAGTCGACGGTACCACAACTGGTGAGGGATCGGATTTTACGCAATAAATACCAGTAGATGCACGGAAGATAATGAAGTCTCGAATAGTCAAGTAGTCTCTGTTGTACCTAGTAATGAAGCTAACAATAGCGACCATTTATCGCCATTTTCAGCAGCTGTGCGAATCTCTGACGGCACTTTCCTAGATCATAGCATAGACACCACTAAAGTAGTTTGCAACCAATGTACCATTCCATCTGTAAATGACTACTCCTTTTCATCCTCGTCTGATATCGTAGAAAACTCATTTCGATCTCCAAAAAGAAATATAAAAGAAAATAAAAGAGGCCACAAATGTTCAAAAGAAAACAAAAAGAAAAGTGAAAAGAGGGGAAAGAGGCCCATCAGAAAAAATGTTGAACCCCCAAATCGACCCCATAGTAGTGTGATTAAACACAGATACACTCCGGCAATATCAACCGAGGATGGCAGCCCTAACAGAACAGCCCGGGGAAGATCACAAGACAGTGAATGCAGAAGCCAGCACCCACTACTGCAGCACAGGAGTACATCCAGCGTGGGAACACCAAATGTCCAATCACCGAGATCAAGGGCGAGGCTGCACCAACTCCCACAGACTGTTAACGACAGTGAAGAAGATGGCATCGAGGATATACTAGTCCCCCGTCCTCAAGCAAACTTGATGAGGCCTAGAAATATAGACGAGAATGCCGAGCACAACGGGGAGAGACTACATCCAGAGCAAGACTACAATATGGCAGGAATCGTGCGGCAAGAGAGAAAAGATCGAATCGGCTGTACCACACAGATAGTGAGTCTGGGATCTAGAGGTGTAGGGGGTAACGACGGGGTGTGTGCCTTTTCTGAGCATGAGCTCCGCTCGCGGGAATCTAGGTCTAGTGACATCGGGCATTGCCAACTGCTAACAAAATCGCATAAGTTTCTCATTGCGACCCTGAACATACGTACGGCACGTAAAGATAGACAGATGGCGAAACTTGCGGGGCTCATCGAGAGATGGAGTTGGATATCACCGTTGTACGTGAATCCCAAGTAGAAACCGAGAGCAGAATGGGAAACTACAGAATTCTAAACTCGTCCAGTAAAGGAGTGAAAATTATTCTATCCGAGAGAGCC